AAATTTGCAGTAGCCAACGCCTCAACCCAAAATTTTGCTGGAAGATTGGCTGTGCAAAGAAGTGTGACAAGAGTTTCAACCAAGTGACGGTGCTTTCTTTCAGCAACACCATTTTGTTCAGGGGTGTAAGGACAAGATTTTTGATGGAGAATCCCCAAATTTTGTAAAAACAACCCAAACTTTTTATTGACATATTCCTTCCCATTATCTGTTCGAAAAAGCTTAAGGGTTGCATTGAACTGAGTTTGAACCATAGATTGGAAACTGAGAAAAGCATCAAAGGCATCAGATTTACTTTTAAGAGGATACAACCAGCAAAACTTGGTATAATCATCAATAAAATTAATATAAAAATGATAACCTCCAAAGGAGGGTACAGAAGTAGGTCCCCATACATTAGAGTGAACAAGCTCAAAAGGAGCAGAAGTTTTAGTTTCAGATACAGGGAAGGGGAGTTTATGAGACTTAGCAATAGAACAAGAATTACAGTGATCAAGATGCTGAAATTTAAAACCTAATTGAGACAATAAAGACTTTGTAACTGAAACTGAGGGATGACCAAGACGGCAGTGCCATTGAAACAGAGTGACTTTGACAGAGTTGACCACCAGAGACGAGGGAGATGCCGGTATGGAGTACAGACCACGCTCACAAGGGCCCTTGAAAAGAACTTGGTTGGTGAGATGGTCCCGAATCGTAAAATCCTTAGAGGTAAAAAGAAGAGAACAATTGTTATCTTTAGTAAATTGATGGACTGAAAGCAGATGGGAGTTAATGTGAGGGGAATGGAGAAGGTTGGTTAAGGTAAAAGTATGGAGAGGGGTGGTGAGTATACCTGAGCCTGTATGGTCAATGGGATAGGTGTTACCTCCTGCAGTTGTGATGGAATTGGTGCCATGGTATGGAGTCAAAGTATGCAGCCGAGACAGATCGGGCGTGACATGGGTGTTTGCGCCAGTGTCCAGATGCCAGTTCGAACTAGATTCAGCAGATTGATTTGCATAAAACGCCTGCGGAGGACCAGCATATGATTCATCGTAGCGGTGCCAACAATTCCAGACCGCATGGCCA